ATGAAAATGAAATGAAAATGAAATGAAAATGAAACAAAATTGAAATGTTTTTCACAGTGGCCTAGCACATGCGTCTAAACAGAGGAATTGCTCCGACCTGTGATTGGAGGATAAAAATAGACCCCGCCCACTTTTTTATTTTTAGAGGATAAAAATAGAATTCGTGACGTTTCGTTTCACCGGTCATAGCCGCGCGTGCATGATATTTGCTAATTAATTAGACTAATCGCGCTTTAATAGACTCAAAATTCACAGCGATTAAGGCTAAGTCATCATGTCTATAATAGCTAGAATTTATAGAAATGTAACTCAAATCGTTTGCTCCATATGATAGTTAGTACACGTTCCTACCGGTCATAGCATAGCGTATGCGGCGGGGTCTATTTTTATCCTCCAATTACAGGTCGGAGCAATTCCTCTGTTTAGACGCATGTCATATAGCCCGCGTAGGCCTACGGTTGCTGCCAGCGGCAACCGTACGGGAGCTATAGTTACTAGAGCTACCTATACTCAGTAGTATAGGCTACTATAGTAGTGCTGATAGGGTCTATGTCCCCTAGGGTACTGCCGGAACGTACCCTGGTAACTATCTAGCTGATATGGTTAGGGTTAGGGTTAGAGTTAGGGAATAGGCGTAGGCGACTCCCTAGACTCGTTCGTGGAGTAGGCGAGGTACAGTCCGGCATATTAGATAGTAGTATTTAGTACCAGGGTACGTTCCGGCAGTACCCTGGGGGACATAGACCCTATCAGCACTAGTAGTACTACTGACTACTGTTGTCAGTGTTGATAGTCAGTGTTGTACCCAAACTTGGAATCTTGCACAAAATAGGAATTTCAGCGCATCCGCAGTTTGGGCAACCAATCTGCAGATTGGGCAAAACCTAGGAAAATTCTTGGTTTGGGCAAGGTGAGCAGGAATGCACAATCTGTGATTATTAGGTTATATCATTACCATTACAGTTATTATCGGCTTTCTTCAGTGTATTTAGCATCTTTGTTAAAATAATAAATGATTATATTAAATAATTTGATAACTATTAGAGAAATCCCTTCCTAGTTTGCACCATGCAGTTATGCTCGCATACGCCACAATCACCATTAAAGATGCCTTCCTACGCATTTTTTTTGACAAACCAGTGTAAAGACGTAAGTAAATAACTCACTACGCTTTAACTGAACGTTAGCTTTGAAATTAAAACTGTAAAAATATGTATCAAGTCTATGTTCCCTCAACGAAAAAACAACTCGAAAAACGCGTTTCACCACGGTTCTGTATCATGGCGGCAAGAATCGACGCAGGTCACGTAACCCACAGCTATAGATATCATATAACACATGGGTTATATGATATCTATGAGCATATATGCAGCCTTCATGACCTTCAGTGCTTGGCAACACCGCATGGCAACAAGAGACGCGTCACAACATCGCCGCAGAGCGGAAAAAGTAGACGCTGTTTGAAACATTCGACCCGACACTTTCAATTTGTAGTCTAAAAGCTTTCAATGAACGTATTCCTGAGCAATTTTTTACCTATCACACATATATAGGCAAGTACAAACGTGCAATGTTAAAATACTTCGTTTTTGCCTGCTTTTATGTTTTCTGCTTGAAGTTTTGAGGGAAGGCACCTTTAAGTGTAGTTGAATAAGCGACTGTTTTCAGCGTGCCTAATCTTGAAATTAGTCAGCCAAACTGTGAAATCTGCAGTTTGGGCAGCACGATCTTGAGATTGTGCAAATCCCAAGTTTGGTTACGACAACACTACTACTAGTACTAGTGCCACCAGTAGTAGTGGTAGTGGGCTGTAGTTCTGGGGGTGGGGCGCTTTCGCAACGAATTAAGTTTGTTGGGGGTCAGTAATGCTGAAGGGGTCGTTGTCGTATATGTTGTACCCGAGGTGTCGGCGAGTATGTCGCCTACGCCTACTCCCTAACCCTAACCCTAACCCTAACCGTAACCCTCACACCCTAACCCTAACCCTAACCATATCAGATAGTTACCTCGGGTACATATTATACGCCATTATACGACAACGACCCTTCGTGCGTCAGTAATTTGTGTAGTTTTTATAGGAGAAATGTGGTTATACGATACGCCGGTACCAGTGCCCATGGAGACAGTTGTTTTTTACTAACCAGTATTTGAGTTGACAAATGAGCAAATTTCGTCACACAGAGGCCTCACTATCCCACATTGTGGCTAACATTTAATTTGCTTGTTTCTGTTTTAAATTTTGTGCACAGCAGGCTTCTTGTGATATATTCAAATGGTCTACTGATCTAAAAATCTAATAAGAATGAGCTTATAAGAAAATATGCCAATGACATTAATTACGAATAGGCTCAAGGTTATTTTAATCAGAAACTGAAAAGCAGTAGGCTATCATGTATAACATGCTGACGCTTGAGCTACATTAATTTTGAGTGTCTACAGTCCTCGTGAGGCCAGTGTATACTTGGGGTCAGTGTTAGAGAATATATAGATAGGAGAAGATCGATGCCAGTGATGAGTGGCGGCAGATGTATCCATGAGAGCTGAACTGAAATACAAGCTTTTATCGTTGTATTGTATTTTTAGATAATGAAACAGAAGCTGGAGATGCTGCTGAAAATGAAGAGTCAATGATTGGCAACATTTGCAATTTGCAAGTGCTTCCTCCTGGATACTATGGTTCACCCGAACAAGGGCATTTAGTTTTTAATGCTTCGTTCGAAAGTGGTATGTTTAAGGTTATAGTAGTTTGTGCGACTCAGTTAACACAGCCGCAAAACTGAGAGGAAAGGAGGGCAGGGGAAAGAGCAATGGCTCGTGAATATTGCTGTATTTAAATTCGTAGCTACAGTGATACGTTTTGGACACAAAAATTGATATGAAATTCGGTTGTTATAAATTCAAAAGCTAAATACCTTACTAATCTGCTTTTGCCATCAACTAATCGTAAATGTGTCACCAATCTCAATAAGCTGCTTTGTTACCATATCAAACAGTTTAGCTAGGCATGGTGCTAATGATTTTGATTCAGTTAGAATCATCTAACCTGGGATAAACTATTGAAATATTTCTTTGAATGTGTGCAGTGCATTCCGTTATGTCAATTTAATCCCAATTAGTTTTTGTAAATCCATTTTTAGCTCATCTGACGTAGTCAGGTGCAGCTTGTAGAATCGCATGATTGTCCGTCCGGCCGTCCGTGCGTCCGTCCGTCCGTCCGTCCGTCAACAGTTGGGCACAAATCTTAACCGCTCGACGTACGGTCACGATATTCGGGACGTGGGTGGGTAATCCGAAAACGAGTTGGGATGTTGAAGCAGGGGGTCAAAGGTCCAAGGTCAAGAGGTGTAAAAGAAGGGGGAACATTCCCTCCTTAAATTTAGGTATAGGGAGGAAATGCAGAATTGCGGCACAAATCTAAACGGCTCGACCTAGGCTCGTGATAGTCGGTGTATAGCATCATGGTAGGAAAAGCCATCACTGTGCCGAAATTGGAGGTCACAGGTCAAAGGTCAATGGGGCACAGGGCAGATTTTAGACATTTTCTGAGGACATGGTCTGACGGAGCGATTGAAAAACTTTTTTGTTTTAGCAGTGACCTACCATTTTTATGGCTTTCTTGAAAGGACCGTGAAATGTACTTTCCGCTGACATGCGAAGAGTAAGTGTCGGATAACCTTTTGACTCTCAAGAGGAGGGTTAAACATGGATTTGTTTACTGTTAGAAAGAATTTGACTGCCGGGTTTGCTAGTAGAATCTATACATGCCTGGATGTATGAGGCCTCAATGTCACAGTGAAATTTCAAAAGCTAAATTTGGTTGAAGAAGGTTTATGCTCCTTAAATCGTATAATTTTTATGGCATTCTGTACTGTCAGTGTGTTACATGTAACTTATGCCACTGCCAGTGCATGTGGTGGTGATAGTACTGTGTAGTTTTTGCCTGTGTTAATTAGTTACAGGTGGCAGCTCTCTATTTCAGCCTGTAGGCCTGCGTAGGTAAATGGATGAGTGCTATTCTATCTTGCAAATAGTTGTTGCTACTACGTATGATGGGAGCTTCCATCTTTAATCTTAAGACACTTAAACGTACACGCCATCTCGTGGCAACTTTCATAACGATCCCAACGAACATTCTTTCGAGAAGGTTCCTGATACCATCCCTGCATGTGCCTTCCACTGTTTCAGCGCGTATGTGAACACATTTGGGACTAACAGGGTTTACTAGAATCCCACCACTCCACCACAGAGTCACCGCAGTAGACGTTAGATGAGCGCTGTCGCTCCGCGGCACTTGTTTTAATAATCTAGGCTGGTTAATCAAATGACATGTCATCAATCTAGCCATTATGAACGTGCAACTCAATTGAGGTTAGGGTGACTAAAAAAACTAGAGCTCTATATTGTTGGTTGGCATTATAATGAGATTATCTTATTAAAAGAGATTTCACCAGAACAATAGCATTGATCAGAACGTTCGGCTTGGCTGCTTGATATGACAGTGAAGCAGATTTAAATATCAGTGCCAGATTATGCATGCAATTGTTAACGTTTGTTCAATTGTACTAAACATTCAATACACTTTTTGAAATTTACATAAGAACATTTGCATTTTTGTGGTCTATGTAAAGGCTTTGATTATTATTTAAATACATTTCACAAACATTTCTAGATGGTACGAAGTTTCTTAGATCTCATAGCAGTATTGATATTGCATAGTCAATAGACAGACATTGCTAGGCATATGTAAATTAGCTACGGATGTTAAAACTTGACAGTCACGATATTGGTTTTGTGGTTTTGCCGTCGTGAGCGGTGAATCAAATGTCTGACTGATATAACAGCACTGGTGTGGAAATATGGAAACCACATCAATCAATCAAAATGATTATTTCCTGGGCCGAGACTGGTCATTTGATTGCAAAATTTTAGAAAATTCTAGTTTCTTGGCCCTACTGTAACCAGAATTATGATGGAGGGTAGGTGGCAAAAACGTAGTAATTTGCAGACTTTGCAATTTGATATTGATAATCCGTGGAACTGGGTGTTGTCATTTTTGTACTAGGTCTCTCTAGATAGAATTTTTAAACTTATTTTGATTTGAATACTTTTTAGTATACAAAACTGCAAATATGTTCGTAATTATTTAATGTGAATAAATTTCTTGTGTACAGGTAATTTGGGTCGGGTCGATGCGATATCTGAGCATGAGTTCGACTTATTTATCCGTCCAGACACGTGCAACGTTCGTTACAGGGTATGGTTGTACTTCTCAGTGAGTAACACAAGGGTAAACCAGGTACGTTTACAACATATCGCTTTGAGCTTCCATAGTATGATTGCACAACACACTGCCTAGGCTATTGCGAGGCCACGAACGGAGTTTGTTGCCAGATAACTACATGTTTATGGATGCATTCGGAATGGTTCTACTTATATTATCCCCACCACTATGGGATAATGAAAATCGTGACTCATGCAACAGACACACAAAAACATCCAAGGACAGCTAAGCTTCAGCTGAGTTTATTCTTCCAAATTTACATAAATGCGTGATTTTGATCTGCCATCGGATACATTTCTACTTGCAGAATAACTGGAACATGTATAACATACTTGATTTGCAGAGAGTGATTTTCAATGTAGTCAACTTCAGCAAGACCAAGTCTCTTTTTAGAGAAGGAATGACCCCCATGGTGAAATCTACTAGTCGGCCGAAATGGTTAGTGAGAGCTTCGGGATGTCTTCTTTGAGATTGCTACAGCGAGATTTGTTGATCTGTACATGCTTAAGTATTGAATCAATCATGTTGCTAAATCGCCTGCCAACTGTGTCTCGCGAACTGTACGTCCTTACACTTTCATCCAGAACACGATTCAGAATGAAGAAAAGATTGCCCATGCATGAAATGTGTTCTGCAATCAAAATTTGTACCGCACTGGCAAGTTAATCACAGTAAAATATGCAATATGCAGTTGCAGAAGGTGAAAAGAACTGTTGGGGCACTTTGCAGGCAGAAGCTCCCCGTTAAGCAGTGCTACTACTACAGATCTCCAGAACACCAAAAAAACTACGTGCTGTCATTTGCGTTCGTCTTTGACATCGAGGAAGTGTACGAGTTTTCCTACTGCTATCCTTACACCTACACCGATCTACAGGACTACCTAGATGTGATAGAGGAGCAGGACCTGCCCTTCTTCAAAAGAGAACTGCTGGGAGTAACCGTGGTATGTGAGTAATGACAGTTAGATATTGACAATGTCCTGAGTGCAAAGTATTATGAGTGGTTGAGTGACTTTTGGCGACCGACTATTAACCAGGCACACGTAAGAAACATTGGTAGCCGATATGTGAAGAGTCAATGCATTTTTCCAAATTGAGAAGCCGAAGGATTTGATCTGGAAAAATGCTAGGATATATGTCTTATCCGGACGTTTTCAAGTGGGGAAACATGTATTAGGTGGTGGCTGCATGCGTAGTCAGAATCTGGTACTAGAAGATATCATCATGCCATTCTATAGATGTGCTGTCTTTAGTAAATAGTATCAAAGGGGAATCAGAAAAAAAGTTATTGATTAGATTCTACTATAATGACACTACTATCACTGTTGCCTTGACATGGCTCACTCATTGCTGTCCTCTACACTGTATGAAATGCACTTGTAAGTCTAGAAATACTAGACATTTTTCTGATATTGACATAAAAACTTTAATTTCAGCAACAGCGAAGGTTGGATCTACTCACAATAACTCGCCCGTCAAACTTTGACGATGACGTTATGAAGAGAGTAGTCTTCATTTCTGCCAGAGTGCATCCAGGTGAAACACCAGCCTCATATATGTGCCAGGGTGAGCATCTACAAATCCCACACATCAATATTCGATTGTTCACGGCACATCCTATGAATGGCGGCATTGGCGGAAGCGACTGATAATATCTTTGATTCGTGTTTCAGGTTTAATTGATTTTCTGATATCTCACAATGAACTCGCAGATGTCCTGCGAAAATATCTAGTTTTCAAGATAGTACCCATGCTCAATCCAGATGGCGTATACCTAGGAAACTACAGGTACAATTACTAAGCCGCACGACTGCCTATGCACGTATAAGCATGTACGTGTATAAATATATCTGCCTGTACCTCTCTCTCCTTCTCTTTAACCCCATCTCTCTGTATGTATATACATGGTGTGTGTGCATGTGTGTGTGCCTGCGCTTGTGTGTGTGTGTGTGTGTGTGTGTGTGCGTGCGTGCGTGTGGTGTGCGTGTACGTGTGCGTGTGGTGTGCGTGTGGTGTGCGTGTGCGTGTGTGCGTGCATGCGTGTGGTGTGCGTGCGTGCGTGCGTGCGTGCGTGCGTGCGTGTGGTGTGCGTGTGTGCGTGCATGCGTGTGGTGTGCGTGTGTGTGGTGTGCTTGCGTGCGTGCGTGCGTGTGGTGCGTGTGTGCGTGTGTGTGGTGTGCGTGCGTGCGTGCTAGCGTTTGGTGTGCGTGTGTGTGCGCGTGCATGTGTGCTTACGCTTGTGTGTGATATTAATTTGCAACAAGTTGACCGTATTGTTACAGGTGTTCTCTAATGGGCTATGATTTAAACCGCTACTGGAGTGACCCGTCCGCATGGGCTCACCCTGCACTCTACACAACAAAACAATATCTCACAGCTCTCGGTCAAAACGAGGTGAGCACAGGAAACAGCATGGTGGACTTTGTTAAAGACAGTCTTCATTGCAATGCGGCATTCCTGCTGCTTTTGTCGTTATTAACTGTATATCCGAGTGCAGTGAATGCAATGTGCCGTGATTCTCTTGCGATTGACATAAGAAGTAAATCGGGAATAATTGCGAGTAAGTATTTCACGCCTGTTCATCCATCTGTATTAGGTCATTGGATCGGATGCATTTCACAACTGCTGGTGATCACTAAAATGCAGCAGACTTTCATGGAATGCAAAATGCAAAAATCTAAATTTCAAGGATGAGACTTCACATCGCATAACCAAAATCGAATGGACATGGCTGGAAAATAATCATAAATGTAGTGATTTCGTCTGTGAGTGTTGTTAGCACCTGGCTTTCCCATCACATTACAGTAAATATAACCACGAAAAACAAAAGCAAACAGGAAAGTGGTAAATCACAGATGTACCCACGTTTCAGAATGTTCAGTTGGACTTCTTCATCGACCTACATGCACATTCCACTCTGCTCAATGCGTTCATGTTCGGAAACGCGTTTGATGACTCGGGAAGGATGGAAAAGCAAAGTGTGTTTCCGCGACTGATGTCGGTAAATGTCGAGGATTTCTCATTGAGCAACACAAACTTCAATAATGACGAATTGAAGTCTGGAACTGGGAGAAGGTGAGTCCTAAGAGCATGATGATGTGTTTGTTTCTGCGACAACGCTTTCAGAACTGTGGTATTCTTCACTGACTTGACACACACATACAAATGCAGAGCTTGGGAATGAATTTACATATTGTCGTCATCTTGTTACATTTCCATCAGCAAGAGCCACCTCAGATAATTATCATTGCTCAATGCAAAGAAAGGCAGCCTGTGCAGCACAAACGTTCTATCAGCGTTCAACTATATAACTTGCACTACACCTAGATCTGTTATATACAGTTTTTGTTAGTAATGATTTTACCTATCAGCCCGAAATAACTCTGTGCTTATAGCATTTTTTGTTTATACTGTTTAATTGACGTGTGTTCAGAAATGACATTCATACATGATGCTGACAGAAACAGCTGGTGAGATCTGATCTCTCTCACACATCATTCCACATATGGAAAAAAATTTATTCCTGTATGGCTATATTGGGGCTATATTGCAACCTGATAACTATTATATATGCTCATCTTTACATCATAAAATCATTCCATTGTATCACTTGCTTTTTAGCTCATCTGACGTAGTCAGGTGCAGCTTGTAGAATCGCATAATTGTTCGTCCGGCCGTCTGTGCGTCCATTCGTCCGTCAACAGTTGGGCACAAATCTTAACCGCTCGACGTACGGTCACGATATTTGGGACGTTGGGGGGGGGGATCGTGAAAAGGACTCGGGATGGCCAATTTGGGGGTCAAGGTCAAGATGTGTAAACGGAGGGGAAATATTTCTCCCTTAACTTAAGGTATAGGAGGAAATACGGAATTGCGGCACAAATCTGAACGGCTCGACCTATGCTCTTAATATTCGGTGTATAGTGTGATGGGCAGGAAACCCATCACCAGTGCGAAATTGGAGGTTACAGGTCAAAGGGCAGTGGGGGAAAGGTCAGATATCAGACATTTTCTGAGGACATGGCCTAATGGACAGAGTGAAAAACTTTTTTGTTTCAGCGCTGACCTACCATTTTTATCACTTTATTGAAAGGACCATGAAATGTGCTTTCCACTGACGTGCGAAGAGTAATACCCCCATCACACCATGGCCCCGATCTCACTACGCTCGTACTACGCTCTAAGAGCGTGGTGGAAGCGTGTAGAACGCAGTATGAACGTATATAGACGTACTGCATTCGCGATCGAGCGCGGTGCAGTCACCATGAGCGTGGAAAGCGTGGGCAAACTTTGAGCATGTTCAAAATAATCGTGGTGCGTGAAAATTGTCGCCCCGTTCTCAGCACAATGTCAATACGTTTTCATCACGCTGTTACTACGTTCATGGAGATGTCTCTGCGACCTGACCACGCTCTCGCTATGACCATGGTGCGTCTCTAGCAAGCTCGACCCGTTCGTACTACGATTGTACTTCGCCCAACATGCTCAGACCACGCCGTTGTGGCGTTCGCATTACGTGTTAGTTATGCTCAGATCACGTCCTGCGAACTTGGGGTATAAATTTGGGTGCTACCCTGGCCACCCCACCAGTTCAGTGTCCACTATGGATGAGGCAACACTACTCCATGCCAGCCCTCTGATTCCAGGGCAACACTTGATGGAGATGACGGACTCCTGCACCTCTTTTAATTCTTTGCTCGGCCTTTCCCCCTTCCACGGCCTCTCCCCTTGTCTTCTGGCGGCATAGTTGTGTCAGTAGAAAATAATCTTGATGTAATCTTGATAGCACGGCAGAATGAATGATAATGTCTAGAACACGGCGCGGTATTGGCCACGCTCTCAACCACGCTCACCACGCTGGGGCAAATTTTTTGAGCGTGGGGCGATCGTGATGAGCGTAGCTCTAGTGTGAAGGGGCCTTAAGTGTCTGATAACCTTTTGACCCTCAAGAGGAGGGTTAAACATGGATTCCTGAACTGCCTCAATGATGTCACAGTGTTCTCATTCACGGCACATCCATCATCTAGAAAGCCAATATGCCCTGATAGCTCAACGGGTACAGCACAGGATTGTTGCTCAAAGGTCCTTGGATCGAATCCCATCATATTTTTTATTATTTACTTGTTTTCTGTATTTTTCTATCTTTATCCATTTAACTATTTTTTTCCAATTAACGCAAATATTTACATGATTTATTTACAACAATTTAATAACAACAAATAATTTTTTTTTAATAGGGTTAGGGTTAGGGTCACAATGCACCATAAAACAGGAGTTTCAGGCACGCGATTTGTATCAACCAATGGGATTTGGGAGGTATGCAGAATGCAGAAGGTTGCTGAAATGATGTGTACGCAACTGCGTATCTGCATATCTGCGCCTAACAAAGGTGTCACTACGCACGACTTAAATGTTACGTTTATAACCGTGGCAACAGACCTCAGATGAGCCCAGACGCTCTGCAGCTCTTGTTTAATGTTCCTTGACATCTTTTAATTGTAATGGCACTAGATTAAACACTTAACAAATTTTACTATTACTATTTTATACATATCAGAATGCTCGCTGTTGTTTAGGTGCTTGTGTCAAATTCGTTGCTTTACATTTTAGGTTGAACTAGAACTGTGGTTACCGATAAATGTTACAAGAAGCCACCAAAATTGATGATTGTGTGCTATTAGCACATATTAGAGTCGTATAGCATTTCCTGGCTGGATCATTGCAAATTTACTGTCTCGCTCATTTGCAGTTTAAGCTATCGATAAATACATTTTCACGTGACGTCGCCTACGTCAGATCGACTTTGAAGATGCAAAGCATTCCTGATCTATCATTAGGGAGCAGGTTTTAATGGGGTCCCAGTAAGCCAGGAAGTAGCACGGAAGTCTGTTATTTAGTATCGACGATTTAAACTACACAAATGACTTCGCTCTAAGCCGGCAACCTATAAAGTTTATGTGAATAGGGCGATCGTGTGCGCAGCTGTGGCAGCGTGGCTGGCTGGATCGATGGGTAAATGATAGCACACCAGTCTGATTCAGGTCTGTCTGACCGGCCAGCCAACCAACCAGTCACCACCGCTGCCTATATCATCAATAATGCAAAGCAGTGCAGAGGAAAGTAGATCCGGCAAGTCATGGACCGGTGACAGATTCACTGCCTCCTCTCTCTCTCTCTCTCTCTCTCTCTCTCTCTCTCTCTCTCTCTCTCTCTCGCGCTCTCTCTGCATCTGTCTTTGTCACTCTGTCTCTCCGTCTGCCTGCTGTCCCCCACCCCTTCCTTCCCTTTTTTTTATCTCTCTCTCCCTCTCTTTATTTCTCTCTCTTTCGCTCTTGCTCTCTTTCTGTCTGTGTGTTTGTTCGATGCTCTATGTTAGCGTTCTGGGCCGAAATTGGATTAATAACTGAGCATAAAGTGGTTGAAAATGTAAGCAACACGTAGAGCCCTGCACACCCATGGGGGCAGCATGTTTGTGAACTGCTACTATTTGTCGAAAATGGCGACGTTTAGTTAGATTTCGCTCGAGTCGGGAAATGTATTAAATTATAACCGGGCACTAAAACTTGGACAACTCATAATTTTAGAGATTTTACCAATTCTGCGATGAAGAATTGTATTTTGCAATGAAAAGTTACGTTTGTAGCTATAATAGGTAATGCCTTATGGGATGAGGTTATATCAGACTGCTAAAAGCGCTTGGCCCATGCCACTACGCAGGGCTGTGCGTTATAGTTCTGGTGTTTATGTTGTGATATTGGGGATATATTGCTCTAAAACTTGAATAATAAAAAATACGCTGGTTACGCTACACATATTTAGCTGGACAAATATTTGTTGCTGTTGTATGCGCATGGTAGTTGATTTAGCTGGGTCTGGTGGATATTGAGGGTTAAAAACTAAACGGTAAAGGTTTCAAATTTACAGGTTAGACCACTTTAAAAACGGGTTTTTGTTATAACCCAGTACGTGGTATAAAATATTGAAATTGTTTGCTGATCAAAGGGAAATATCTAGCGAATGGCCACGTGGGATGTGATTGTGCATTGATCTTGACAGCTGGCATCCATCCTTTCTTTAATGTTTAATCCATCCATTTAAACTGTATATTTATTAATGCATGCACGCAAACTTTCGCCATGCTAGCTCCGTGGTTCATTAAAATTAATAAAACCAATAGTCTGGTGTCTATACCCAAACCCAATATTAATAGCAATTGTTTGCGTGTTTTATGCCCTTATTCATTATCTGTTTCGATACAGTCTGCACGCTGTGTTGTCTCTTACATCAAAAAGCTTGTTAGTGAGCAGGTATGCAACAATAGCATTCATTATTAATAAACACATGTTGCATTAAAGCGTCACAACAGTCCAGCCAGTCGCGCGTGTGGGTGGTTGCCTGCCTGCCTGCTGCTGTGTGTAGCCTACTTGGCTCTGTGTCTGCGTATACCCGCCGTGGAAGTTGATATTGATCTCGGACTGTCTAGGCGGCACTACGGCCCCACGCCGCACGCGCTCAGCCATAAAGCATGCGGTAACATATTCATGCCCCATTGGCCGCGAATTGCTGCTTTGTTCCCAATTCCACTCGGCTATTCGAGGCATTTCGGTTGTTTTGAAATGAGATTAGATAGTAGGGCGGCGGAGCTGAGACGCGGAGAGATGGACCGTGCTTGCACGGACTCGACACGTTGACATTTGTAGTGAGTTTGAGAGAGGAGAGTCAATCAGGTGTCCTATAGCCGCGCTCGATGTAGCTTAAACGGTATAATCATGCTCACGCGTTTTGTGAAACAATACTTCATTTAACTTATAGCATGTAGTCACACGTATGTAGCGGGTACGATGCTTTGTGGTAATGAAATTTTATGTTATCGTTTTTTTATGACAACATCGTATATTATTTAGGCAAGGCAATATGCTCTCTATCCTCTTCCCTGACCTGTGAAATCACAAGATATCGCAAGTGTATTACACGACTTTACTTCTCTCTCTTACTCTCTCGTGCTTTGATGTACAAAAACATAAGACAACAATATTATTCACATGTATATACACACACGCGCACGCACGCATGCACGAA